GCGTGTGCCACCACCGCCACACTCTTGCTATGGCTCTAATAGCTCTGACCCTGAACACACAGATATCTATGGGATTAAAGGCGTGTGCCACCACCATCATACTCTTGCTATGGCTCTAATAGCTCTGACCCCCAGACAACTTTATTTATTAACATACAATCAAAATAATAATTCAGTACAATTAGATTACCACCACAAGTCTCCCTGCTTCCAAGCTTACTACCCTCTAGCCTCCAGATGCACCAGTGATCTAAAACATGCATTCACCACACACTTCCCTATGAAACCCTCAACGGATTATACCAAACCAAAATACCTGAAAAGCAAAATGGCTGTGCTAATTCTGGAGAGCCTGCATGCCTGCAACCACAGCCACTTCCTTCCTTTTCACTTCCTCTACACCCTAAGTCACATCTAAAGCTCTAGTCACACAGTTTGAAAATCATTAGCTTCTAAGTTCAAATAATCTGAAGCCTTCTGATTTCTTTTTCTTGGAGACAGGGTCTCTCTACATATTCCTGGAACTCACTAAGGAGATCACAGAAATATGTCTGCCCCTGCCTCCCAAGTGCTAGGATTAAAGGTACACACCACCATGCCCAGCATGATCCCACTGCCTCAGTCTCCCAAGTGCTGGAATTATAGGAATGAAACACCATGCCTTTTTATTTATTTATTTATTTTCTGAGACAGGGTTTCTCTTTATAGCCTTGGCTGTCCTGGAACTCCTATAGACCAGGCTGCCCTTGATCTCGGAAATCCACCTGCCTCTGCCTCCCAAGTGCTGGGATTAAAGGCATGCACCATCAATGCCCAGCAAAAAAATTTTTTTCACCATGCCTAACTTAATAAGGTGTATCAAGATTAGATTTTCTGATAAAAGTATCAGGAACTTTTCTCTATTGGCATTCAATATTTTTTATTTGGATATATAGTCATGCACCAAATAATATTTCAGCCAACACAAATGGCATATTTAACAGTGGTCTCATAAGACTATAAAAGTTCCCACCTCCTGGGAGTTGGGAGTGGGTATCACAGCTGCTATAGCACATGTCTGCTAGTATGTTCATAGCAGTTCAGGTATAAACAAAACTACTGTGCTGCCAGTTATAACAATCTACGGCACATACAATTATGCATAGTATATAACACTTGATAATAAGTACATTACTGATAATAAATACATTTACTATGTTATTCATACTTTATAATCTATGGCATACTATACTTTATAGTATATGTTTATATAGTTTTATGTTTATGTCTGTGCTACTTAATTTTAACTGTCAACTTCACATAACCTAGAATCACTGGAAAGTCTCAAATAGGAATTATTTAGATCAGGTTGGCCTATCAGCGTGTATATATATAATGAATGTCTTAATGGTTAATCAATGTAGGAAGACCCAGGCCACTATGGACAGCACCATTCCCTAGTCAGGGGCTCCTGAATAGTGTAAGAGGAAAGAGCTAGCTGGAAGCAAGCATGCAAGTGTCCACATGTCTACATCCTGCCCTGACTTTCTCAACAATGGACTGGAACATGAAACTGTAAGCCAAATAAGCCTTTCCTCCCCTCAGCTGTTCTTGTCACGAGAGTTTATCACAGCAACAGAAATTAAATTAGAATAACACTGTACTTTTTATTTTAAAGTTTACTCCTATTTACTGAAATTTTAAAATAAAAGAATTTTCTGTAAAACAATACATATTCCATGTTAGGCCAGGAGCAGCTTCAAATCCCTCACATTTGCACAGCATCAAGAAGCCCTGTGCAATGACTGAAGTTACCATCAGAGTTTGTACAAGCACATTTTGTGATGCTCTCTCTCACGGGGACAAAACTGCCTATGATTTTCAGAACACAGTCCCATCCTTAAATAATACATGCTCACACTTGGCAATGTTAGTTAAATTACTGACCTCTGAGAGAGATGCATCCACCTTGGAAGAAACTTTCAGGTCTAGCCAGGGCTGGTAGTTTTCAAGTAGCAAGGAAGGCCTAAAGTAAATCAAACAACTAAATCATTTATAATAAAATAATAACTTGTAATAAAATGTAATAAAAAGATCAACAAATAAGAACATTTAACTTGGGGGCCAGCAAGGTGGCTCAGCATTAGGTAAAAGCACTTGCTCTAGAAGCTCAATTACTTGAGCTTGATTCTCAGAAGCCAGATAAAGGTGGAATGAGAGAACCGATTTGTACTCCGACCTCCAGACATACAGCATGGCCACACACACACACACACACACACACACACACACACACACACACACCACAACTTAAAAAAAAGTTTAGCTTACCTATGTCGTTTACATTTTACTTTACCACAAACAGCACAGCTATGACCTTGTGGAAATAACTCTTGAAGTCCTAATTGCTAAAAAAGGAAAGAAAAAAAGAGATTGGTCTTTAGTTTCCATAATATCTCTTTTACGAAGAATCAATTTTCAATAGCTTTGCTACCCTCCATGACGGCATTCAAAGAATTTTTTTGTTTGGTGCTTCAAAACTAAAACTATTATTTGTAATAAGTACCTGCTAAAATAACTGCCAGTGGGCACAAAATACCTTATGAACTGTTTTCCCATACCTAAGCTGGGCCTGGGGTGTATGAACCACTCAGTGGTCCAGTAGTAGAGAATTTTCTAGCATACACAGTGGCATAGGTTCAATGCCTATCACCAGAAAGGTAAGAGTGGGAACCAAAAATAAAGGTTCCCTTAGCAGGCATGGTAATACATGCCTATAATTCCAACTCTCAGGAGGCCAAGGATCTAGAATTTAAGGCCCATGAGACCCTGTCTTTAACAATAAACAAACAAACAAATAAATAAATCTATCTTTCACTGTGTCTTCAATTGCAAAAATATAAAGAAAAAAACATTCTTCTCCATTTCTCCCAAAGCTTGGCTTCAATGAGGAGGAAGGCATGTGATAAATCCTAAGGGCCATGACCAAATATGGCCCAGACTTCTGTGTTCCCTCTACAGAGAAATACCACAAACCTCCAATGAGGGACTGTATCAATTTAAAGAGCCATAATCCATGATTCAAAGATAGCCCCTAGGGGTGCGGAGCACAGCTCTGAAGGGCAGCACTGGAATAGTAGGTGCAAAGCCCCCTGCTTTCTCTCCATCGGTGAGGGGGAAAGGGTATCTCACTAAATCCTGACCTGTGGACAGAATTTTAAAAGTCAGAATTTTGCCTTACAGAGGACAGTTAATATACTACTACCACTACTAAATTTCAGAAATACAAATTATTTTGGCTAAGCAAATTGCCTAATTATTTTTTATTTTCTATTGTACACATATTCATTAAGAGATTTACAGGATTGGAGGGTTGGGGTTAGCTCAATGCTAGAACATTTGCTTAGGCACAAGGATCTGAGTTCAATCCTCAGCCTGTGGGAACACACACACACACACACACACACACACACACACACACACACACACACACACACACACAGAGAGAGACTGAAAGAATGAGAATTAAGAGGGTTGGATTATTGTTAAACCCAGAACTCCTTAAATGTCTGTGCTCCAGAACTATCTGAAAAGCTTTTAACAACACTATTTACAGGGCAGTAGCCTAGAAATTTTTAATCAAAATCTGGGGGAAAGGCCCAACAATCCAGATTGTTGATTGTGCCCAAGGGGGGTCTCTTGTACAACCAGCTTTGAAAACCTCTGTTCTAAGCTAACTGCCCTTGTGCTTATCATGTACCCAGGGGACAAGCTGACATTGAGAACTGCAACTTTCTGAGAAGATTGTATTTCCTTTTTACAGTTGTTATTAGAACTGTAAGCCTTACAACTATGACTGAAGATGCAGCTCAGTGGGGAATTACATGCAAGGGCCTGGGTTCAATCTTTTTCTATGGACTTCATGTGTTCCATTATAAAATAATAACAGGTAGATTTTTGAAAATCATTGCTTTAAGACTAAACAGCACCGGGCGGTGGTGGTGCACGCCTTTAATCCCAGAACTGGGAAGGCAGAGCCAGGCGGATCTCTGTGAGTTCGAGGCCAGCCTGGTCTACAAAGTGAGTTCCAGGAGAGGCGCAAAACTACACAGAGAAACCCCATCTCAAAAAAAAAAAAAAAAAAAAAAAAGACTCAACAGCATGGAGTCACATAAACTGACTTATAAAATTAAAAACCACAGGCTGGAGAGATGGCTCAGAGGTTAAGAGCACCGACTGCTCTTCCAGAGGTCCTGAGATCAATTCCCAGCACCCACATGGTGGCTCACAACTATCTGTAATGAGATCTGGCACCCTCTACATAAATAAATAAAATTAAAAATCACAAGGCTGAAGAAAGGGTTCAGCAGTAAATGTGCCTGCTGTTCTTCCTGAGGACCAGAGTTCAGTTCTCAGTACCCACATTGAGTAGCTCACAACTGCCTGTGACTCTAGCTCCAGAGAATCTAACGATCACTTCTGACCTCTAGGAGTATTCACACTTGTGATGTATGCTCACACAGACATACCATGTACACACATATATTTAAAAAATTTTAACTTAAAAAAACACAATTTTACCTTAGGTTTGTATTTTATTGTGAAGAATATATTTGGTAAGAGAGAATCAGGTCCTAATGAACAGTAGAATGTCACAACTCCAGCAACAAATGACCAGAAGATCATTAAGACATGAAGATACCTTAGAAATAAATAAAAATGATCAGAACCAAAGAAATGTATAACATTAAAAGCGATTCCTTTATTGGTCTACCATATATTTATTAAGTACCTATTAATCAAAATCAATTTTAAATTTTCCAATCAGTTAACTTTCTGTAATATATTTTGTTAGATATAATATAAATAATAGAATTATATTACCAAATATGCATTTTCATTTAAGTATAGGAGGAAATTAAGTTCAACACTTCATAGTTTCATTTCTATGTTAAGTTTAAGTAGTCTGAATTCATTCTTCCAGAATACCTTCTATTCTCACACTCCACCAAAATTATGATGATCATTAAAGTTAATTTTTCCAAGTGCCTACTTTGTGTTAGACAGTATTGGGCTCTGGGGATATAATAGAGTACATCACTACCATGGTCTCTAGTAACACAGAGATCAGTCTGGCAGTGAAAGTTGAATAAATGAGCATAATACAATGTGAACATGTGTTTGGTATTATGAAACAGAACTCAAATGCTATAGAAAAACTTAATGATTAGATAAGGGAAACCCAACAGAGGAAGGTAGGGAAAGGAATTGAGGGACCTGGGAAGAGATAGGGGAATTCAAACTTGACAGCACTGCATGCCTATGGTCTGCTCACAGTTTCCACAAAGTAGAGGCTTAGGACACTTGTTGCTTTTTCATCAGAGGACCCAGGTGCTGTGGGATATCATTCTGTATTCTGTGAATATGTGTTGCTCTGATTCAATGATAAATAAAATGCTGACTGGCCAGTAACCAGGCAGGAAGTATAGGCAGGGTAAGCAGACGAGAAGAAGGCTGGGAAGAGGAAGTCACCAGCCAGACACAGAGGAAGAAAGATGACAAGGTAGAACTGAGAAAAGGTACCAAGCCACATGGCTAAACATAGATAAGAATTATGGGTTAATTTAAGTGTAAGAGCTAGTCAGTAATAAGCCTGAGCTAATTAATATAAACCTCTGAGTGTTTACTTGGGGGATGCAAATGGGAGAGATTTTTCCAATTGCCAGCCGGCCAGGATACAGGAAAACTTCCAACTACACCCAGGATTGAGTCCCAGCACCCAATGGTGGCTTACAACCATCTGTAACTCCAGTTCCAGGGGATCTGATGCCCTCTTCTGGCCTCCACAGGCACCAGACACACAGGCCAAACATTCATATATACAAAGTAAAATGAGTAGATCTAAAATAATTTTTTTAAATGGTCCTAAGGGGAGCCTGAAGAGGCAAGAAGCCAGATTATTTATTGTGTCATAATATAATATACCGTATTAAGGTGTCTCAAAACAGGCATGCTCAGTATGATCTTACAGATACCAATCCCCTCCACAGTTCAAACTTCAATGACCACAGCATGATTATT